CATCGGTTAGGCGGGACGGGGGGGCGGGGCCTTACGTGTCCCCCAGATGCGGCCGCGGCGGCCGCCGGACTGCGGGAGCCGGGCGGACGGGCGCGCGGTGACGGCCCTGTGTGCTCCGCAGGGAACTACCGCACCCAGATGTGGGATAAGCACAAGGAGGTCTTCCTGCCCTCGACCCCCGGCCTGGGCATGCACGTGGAGGTGAAGGACCCTGAAGGCAAGGTAGGGCCACTGCGCGTCGCCCTCGCCTGGTGCATCAGGCCGCCCTTCGGCGGGGCCCTGTGGCCGTGCGGAGCTCGGAGGACATGCGCCGTCCCCGGAGAGGTCCGTGCGGCTGGGGACTTTGACCCACCGCTGTGTTGCAGGTGGTGCTCTCGCGGCAGTATGGCTCCGAGGGGCGCTTCACCTTTACTTCCCACACCCCTGGCGACCATCAGATCTGCCTGCACTCCAACTCTACCAGGATGGCGCTCTTCGCTGGCGGCAGACTGGTAAGAGGACTGTCTTTGGCTGCAGCTTGGATTCTCACTCGGTTCCAAGGTTGTGATTTATTCCCGTCATCATTTGTGACACTTTATGGTCTTTATGCCATAGTCACAGTTAGGGAGATGTTGCCTTCGTCCCACAGCGTGGGACAGGAGTGGGTGCCCTAGTTCAGAGCAGACAGTCGGAGGCCCCACTACTCAGACACTGTAACCTCAGAGAATTTCTGACCTTGTGGCTTTGGGGCTCCAACCCCGTGTCCTTCTAGCGTGTGCACCTGGATATCCAGGTCGGGGAGCATGCCAACAACTACCCAGAGATTGCTGCCAAGGACAAGCTGACAGAGCTGCAGCTGCGGGCCCGCCAGCTGCTCGATCAAGTGGAACAGATCCAGAAGGAGCAGGATTACCAGCGGGTAAGGGCACAGGCTGAGCTGCCACACGGCAGGTGACCTTTATACCCATTCCACGTACTAGAAGTGTCTGCCTGGGGCCTTCCTACTGAGCAGTTCAGAGAGCGGAGGGGAGGGCAGCAGTCCAGATACCTGTCCGTGAGCTGTATAGCGTGAAGAGCAGGTAGGACAGCTCACAGTCCGGCCCTCGCCTGTGTCCCTCGGGCTCTTGCTTGAAGTGGTGGGAGCGTACTTTCGTCCTGGTGGAGATGCTCGCGAAGGGGCAGCACGGCACTCTCACGGGGCAACCCCAGGGACGTCAGAGGCAGTGCAGAGAGCAGTGCAGAGGCGTTGGGTCGCGCAGCTGAGTAGTCACCTGGTGGGAGAGACCTCACAGCAGCCAAGACCATTTTCCCCTGCACGTTTAATCCTGGGTCTGTTGTCCCACGCAGTACCGAGAAGAGCGCTTTCGTCTGACCAGTGAGAGCACCAACCAGAGGGTCCTGTGGTGGTCCATCGCTCAGACCGTCATTCTCATCCTCACTGGCATCTGGCAGATGCGTCACCTCAAGAGCTTCTTTGAGGCCAAGAAGCTGGTGTAGCGTTCTCTCTGTGTGACCTTTCTCTCTCATCTCAATTATTTGGTACTTTCCCCACCCGATACCTTATCCACTTGAGTTGTGAGGGGAAAAAATGGAGAAAGGATTTAAGCCACATTGGTTTCATGGCAGCAAAGCATCCAGATCGGCCACCCATTAACATTGGATACAGGACATTGGTCCAAGCTTTCACAGGTGTCTTGGGGTTTGCGCACAGTCGGAACTGACCCTGGACTAGGCCTTGCTTCTTGCGCCTCCAGTGAGTCCCCTTCATCCCATCACAAAATGAGCAAAGGAAAAATCCTCCCAACTCCTGTAACTTTCTGTCCTCGTCTGCTCACACAGCGGCGACGGAAATGCCCCACCAAGGAGGCCCCACCTCACTGCTCCCGGTTGGTCCTGGGTTCCCTCAGTGGCTTTCTGAATGTAAATAAGGGCCAGAGGCCTTAGAAGATGGAAGTGTTTTTCTATATATTAGAAGTATTTTTTGATAAATTATATATTTTCCTTCCTAGCTGAAGTGTGACTGCCTGTGTGTGACTAACTGAGCCACAGCGCAGCCACCCCACACTCTGTTTGCCCACAGTTCTGGTGACTTCCGCAGCAGCTCAGGATTTCAGCGGGTCGCACAGCCGACGCCCCAGCTGCTCTCAAGGCCTTAGCAGAGGGCTAAGGAGACCCTCTGGGACACCTGTGCCTCCACCGCACGGGGCCTCAGGGTGATGACAGAGCCGGCACTGGCGGGGCGCTCCTCTCTTCCTCGCCCCTTCACCTGTGGTTAAGCCGTGGTAAATGTTTTCTTCAAGGGAACCAGGGTTGGTTCTTTATACAGATTTTTCCAGTGAAATAAAACTTGTTGCAGTAGCTGTGTTTGAGATGAAAATCTGGGGCCAGAGCGGGGCACAGAGGGGAACGGAGGCTGTTGGCCTGGCTTGCTTCAGCAGCTGACCTGGGGAGGCCACAGCGTGTGTGTTCATGGCGCTCGGGCTTGGCTGAGCAAGTCTCTGGGGATGTGGGTGGACAGGTGCTTGCTCAGCCATTCAGAGGCCAACCAAGTAGACCCCCTCGGCAAGGGGTCATGTGAGGAGGCTGAGTACCCGTGTTTCACTCCCAAAATCAAGTGCAGAGAGATGAGTACACTTCTCTTGACCCTGTTACTGTACGAAACAGTGCTGTTAGCTGCCCATTCTGGATGTTTATTTCGTGGTTTTATTTTTTTTTCTCTATATCCTATACTATTCTGCATATATGCATGTTTCTACTTGTAAAAACGTATGCAATTTAGATTTAAAGGTTTTGTCATTTAAAATTTTTTGTAAGTATTTTTGAAAAGCTACATATTCTCCATCTTTCTAATTCTGGATGGCCATGTTAACTGTTAGTGAAGGAGAATGCTGTAATTGACATTTCCAGAATTCTTTGACTATTTTAAATACTTTTCAGTATTCTTCATGTTTCAGTTAATAGGGAAAATCAGGTGGCCTTGGATCTAGTTGGCTGCATGGGCCTCTGACTTGAGGCTCTGAGGGAGTATGACATGTCAGGGTGTCTGCCCTGTGGCTACCACTAGGAATTCAGCCAGTAGAGCAGAGGCTGGAGCCTGGGCTGTGGGAGGACAGGGAACCACAAATAAGAGCTGGGGCTGGCTTCAGCATCTGCCCAGCAGTAGGCACGATCGAGTGCATCTCGGTCGTGCTGGTAGATCAGTGTGCCCTGGGTTTCCTGTCTTGTGAGTTCTAGATCGGAAGGGGAGCAGAGTGAGGACAAACAGGAGTGCGTTGCACTGCACCGACAGGGCAGGGGGAAGAGCTGTGGCCAGGGGATGAGCCGACCCGTGCTGGCTGCGGGGAGGAGGCTTCCATGCTGCGTGTGGTATTAAGGTACATCACAGCCTAGGGAAGTTTTCTAAAAAGTTTGCCTGCATGCTCGGAATTCTGGTGACCTCCCTCCTCACCCCATACCATCCCGATTTTCTTTCTGAAATTCTTAGACCGTGTAACATTCTTACCAAACAGCCTTCTGTCTCCTCACCACAAAAAGAAAAAGGGTCGGGGGAGCCATCCTGCTCATGCCCTGACATCCCAGCCCGGGCCCTGGCTCTTGCCGTGGCCAGTGCCCATCTCCATCTTTCAGTCAGCGTCTCGCTTGACCTGTGGTGCACGAAGCGCTCTCTGTTCTCACCCTGAACAGCCAGAGCTTCCCCTCCAGCGTTCACGCTGTGCCCAGGGCAGAGCAGATGTGAAAGGCCACCTGGGAAGCTCCCCAGCAGGGTCCTGAGCAACACACAGGTTGTCTGATAAGCGGCTTTGTGTTCGTGGTGGTTTGGTGGCAGAATGATGACCCTCCACTGATGGCCATCCCTAATCCCTGGAACCTGCCAATGTTCCCTAACATGGCAAAGGGAACTTAAGGGTGCTATGAGCCGATTTCAAAACCGAGGTTATCCTGGATCATCAGGTGTGTTCAGTGTTATCACAAGGTTCTTTAAAGGTGAACGAGGAAGGCTGCAGTGATGTGACGGGAAGACTCAACCCACCATTGCTGGCTCTGAAGGTGGAGGAAGGGGGCCATGCTGGGAAAAGCAAGACACCAGTTGTCCCTCTGGAGTCTCGACAGCTTGATTTCAACCCAGTGAGACCTTGTCAGACTTCTGACCTACAGAACCATAGTAATAAATTTGTTATTTTAAGCCATTAAGCTTAGGGTATTTTGTTATAGCAGCGATAGAAAACTAATCCAGGTGGGAACCTTGTAAAAATAAATCCTTTTACCTAAGCGGTGCAGGTAACAGACGGGCAGCCAGGTGTGGAAACCCCGGATGCACCTGCCTTCCTCTTTCTCTTAATGCTGCTCGTTCTTCCAACCCAGTCCTCCTGTAGTCCAGTTCTTGTGGCCCTGAACCTTAGCCCAGCCTGTCTCGGTGGCCTCTACCATGTGCTGGGACACCCATAGTCACTTGCTTTCTACTCTCAAAGCTATTGTCCTCACTCAGGTTCTTACGTTTTGACCATTGTTCCAGGCAAAACAGCCCTGGAGCACATCTGCCGGTGCACTTTTCTGGGGCATAGTTAGGTAAAGTTAGTGCTTACACAGGGGCCCGACAGCGACCCCCAGATGCAGCAGGGTAGGCGAGGGCGCAGGACTCAGGCCGTTTGCCTGTTTATTTAGGGACCCCCGGACCCCACAACCAGTTGAGGCATAATGATTAAGGCGGAGCTGCTCAAAGAAGCGCTGAGGGAGGTAAAGCCATAAGCCTGCATCTGTGCTTGCGAGGTATCCCGCCCGGGTTGGTGGCGGAAACTGGCACGGAGGGACCATCCCCGCGTCCACGCAGCCCCGCCGCCAGTAATCCTAACCCAGCATGGCGTTGGGAGGCAGCGTCTGGGGACAGGAGAGGACCCGCAGTGCTCCAGCCGACATCCCGACCGCCAGCCGCTTCCGCACGGAGACCGTGTACCCGAGCGCAGCGGCAGGCGCCGAGCCCCACCGAGAGACCGGAAGCCGATGCCCCGGCGCTTCCGGGTGGGTGATGGGTCCTCCGACGCTGATTGGTTGTTGATTTGACCCGCCCACCCGTTGCCACGTTCTTTCAGCCGCGCGTGCGCGCTGTCACTACAGAGCTCCAACATGGCGGACGTGGACGTGTTGGGCTTCGAACACATGGGGCTCGATCCCCGGCTCCTGCAGGTACCGGGCGGGCTGAGGAGCCGGCAGGCGTGGCGGGGGGCGGGGGC